AGTGAAGACAATTGTATGAATATGTCACCGAAAATCATTGATGACACCAGGTGTTCACAAAAAGGGTGTGCATGTTCTGCTCATGTTCTGGAAATCCATTTGAATGCCTACCATAACATTTCTTGAACGACTTAACCAGGCCATTTATTATGAAACGCGTACTAGTAAACAAGATGTGTCTCTCCAGGAAATTCTAGTAAAATGTACTTACCTAAAACAACCGGGACAATTGTGAAATGTAGACGGTAGATGGAATATTGATCGACATGAAGAGAAATGTCGCGATTGGCAAATCGAAATCATCCCCCTTTTCAAACAACATGGTACAGAGACTGCCAGCAATCTGCATCTCTATGCACAGATCCACATCAGACACTGAATAGAATCTCTTAGTTGATTCTTTGATATGCAACTCTGGTTTATAGATGACGTGGAGGCAATTTAAAGGTCCTGTTTTTAAATTGTAATTTACTAGGCGTTAGATTTCCGCAATATTCATGTACGTATGTGCAGCACTTTTGAACACTGAGTAAAAGTATCAAATGTTTGGGTCATTCATTATTCAACCTACCTTGATAACTGTGTTTACTGAAGGCAACCAAGCCACTTTGATATATGCTTCACCTGTATTAATTCTTTTTATATTTGTCTACAGTAAATATAGAACATTATTCATGACAGATGCTCAAGAGTTGCAACTATGGTGTTGAATATGTCATACACGTACTGTTGATGTTGAATGTGTCATCCACATACCTGTGATGTTGAATGTGCCATACACGTTCTTTTGATGTTGAATGTGTCATCCACATACCTGTGATGTTGAATGTGTTATGCACGTTCTTTTGATGTTGAATGTGTCATCCACATACCTGTGATGTTGAATGTATCATGCACGTACTTTTGATGCTGAATGTGTCATCCACATACCTGTGATGTTGAATGTGTCATCCACATACCTGTGATGTTCAATGTGTCATGCACGTACTTTTGATGTTGAATGTGTCATCCACATACCTGTGATGTTGAATGTGTCAAGCACGTACATTTGTTGTTGAATGTGTCATCCACATACCTGTGATGTTGAATGTGTCATGCACGTACTTTTGATGCTGAATGTGTCATCAACATACCTGTGATGTTGAATGTGTCATGCACGTACTTTTGATGTTGAATGTGTCATCCACATACCTGTGATGTTGAATGTGTCATACACATACCTGTAATCTTGAATATGTCATACATTTTCGTTTGATGTTGATGTTGCTACCTGTTACTGTGATGATGAATGTGTGTTACCTGTGATGGTGACTATGTGTTACCTGTTACTGTGATGATGAATGTGTGTTACCTGTAACTGTGGTGATGTGTTACCTGTAACTGGTGATAAAAGTGTGTTGCCTGTAACTTTGATGAATGTGTGGTACTTGTAACTGTGTCGATGAATGTGTGTTACCTGTAAATGTAATGATGAATGTGTTACCTGTAACGCTGATGATGAATGTGTGTTACCTGTGATTGTGCTGATGAATGTGTGTTACCTGTAACAGTGATTATGTGTTACTTGTAACTGTGGTGATGAATGTGTTACTTGTAACTGTGATGATGAATGTGTTACCAGTTACTGTTCTGATGAATGTGTGTTACCTGAAACTGTGCTGATGAATGTATATTATCTGTAACTGTGAGTATGTGTTACTTGTAACTGTGCTGATGAATGTTCGTTATCTGTAACAGTGATTATGTGTTACTGTGATGGTGAATGTGTTACCAGTAACTTTGGTGATGAATGTGTGTAACCTAACATTGCTGACGAATGTGTTTTATTTACCTGTAACTGTGATTATGTGTTACCTGTAACTGTGCTGATGAATGTGTGTTACCTGTTACTGTGATTATGTGTTACTTGTAACTGTGGTGATGAATGTGTTACCTGTAACTGTTGTGATGAATGTGTGTTACCTGTAACTGTGATGATGAATGTGTGTTACCAGTAACTTTGATGATGAATGTGTGTTACCTGTAACTGTGCTGATGAATGTGTTACTTGTAACTGTGATGATGAATGTGTTACCAGTTACTGTTGTGATGAATGTGTGTTACCTGTAACTGTGATGATGAATGTGTGTTACCAGTAACTTTGATGATGAATGTGTGTTACCTGTAACTGTGCTGATGAATGTGTTACTTGTAACTGTGATGATGAATGTGTTACCAGTTAATGTTGTGATGAATGTGTGTTACCTGTAACTGTGATGATAAATGTGTTATCTGTAACAGTGATTATATGTTACTTGTAACTGTGGTGATGAATGTGTTATAGGGTAACAGTGATGATGAATGTGTGTTACCTGTAACTTTGATGATGAATGTGTTACTTGTAACTGTGATGATGAATGTGTGTTATCTAAAATATTGTGGTGATGAATGTAAAATCTATAACTGGTGATGAATGTGTTACCTCTAGCTGTTATGATGAATGTGTTACCTGTAACCGTAATGATGAATGCGTTACCTGTACCTGTGGTGATGAATGTGTGTTATCTGTAACTTTGATGATGAATGTGTTACCTCTAACTATGATGATGTGTTACCTGTAACTGTAATGATGAATGTGTTACCTGTAACTGTAATGATGAATGTGTTACCTGTACCTGTGGTGATGAATGTGTGTTATCTGTAACTGTGATGATGAATGTGTTACCTCTAGCTGTGATGATGTGTTACCTGTAACTGTAATGATGAATGTGTTACCTGTAGCTGTGGTGATGAATGTGTGTTATCTGTAACTGTAATGATGAATGTGTTACCTGTAGCTGTGGTGATGAATGTGTGTTATCTGTAACTGTGATGATGAATGTGTGTTACCTCTTACTGTGATGATGTGTTGCCTGTAACTGTGATTAAAGTGTGTTGCCTGTAACTTTGATGAATGTGTGTTACTTGTAACTGTGTCGATGAATGTGTGTTACCTGTAAATGTAATGATGAATGTGTTACCTGTAACTGTAATGATGAATGTGTTACCTGTAGCTGTGGTGATAAATGTGTGTTATCTGTAACTGTGATGATGAATGTGTTACCTGTAACTGTGATGATGTGTTACCTGTAACTGTGGTGATGTGTTCCCTGTAACTGTAATGATGAATGTGTTACCTGTAGCTGTGGTGATAAATGTGTGTTATCTGTAACTTTGATGATGAATGTGTTACCTGTAACTGTGATGAATGTGTTACCTCTAGCTGTTATGATGTATGTGTTACCTGTAACTGTGGTGATGAATGTGTTACCTGTAGCTGTGGTGATGAATGTGTGTTATCTGTTACTTTGATGATGAGTGTGTGTTACCTGTAACTGTGCTGATGAATGTGTTTTACCTGTAACAGTGATTATATGTTTCTTGTAGCTGTGGTGATGAATGCGTTACTTGTAACTGTGGTGATGAATGTGTGTTACCTGTAACTTTGATGATTAATGTGTTACTTGTAACCGTGATGATGAAAGTGTGTTACCTGAAACGGTGGTGATTAATGTAAAATCTATAACTGGTGATGAATGTGTTACCTCTAGCTGTTATGATGAATGTGTTACCTGTAACTGTAATGATGAATGTGTTACCTGTAGCTGTGGTGATGAATGTGTTTTATCTGTAACTTTGATGATGAATGTGTTACCTGTAGCTGTGGTGATGAATGTGTGTTATCTGTAACTGTGATGATAAATGTGTGTTACCTCTAACTGTGATGATGTGTTACCTGTAACTGTGATTAATGTGTTACCTATAACAGTGATGATGAATGTGGTTACCTGTAACTGCGATGATGAAGGTTCGTTTCCTGTTACTGTGGGTATGTGTTACCTGTAACTGTGGTGATGAATGTGTTATATGTAACTGGTGATGAATGTGTTAGCTGTACCATTTGTGATGAATGTGTGTTACCTCTAACTGTGATGGTAAATGTGTGTTACCTGTAACTGTAATGATAAATGTGTTACATGTAACTATGGTGATTGTGTTACTTGTAAGTTTTATCATGAATGTGTGTTACCTGTAACTGTAATGATGAATGTGTGTTACCTGTAACTGTAATGATGAATGTGTTACTTGAAACTGTGGTGATGAATGTGTTACCTGTAACTGGTGATGAATGTGTTACCTCTACTGTTGGTGATGAATGTGTGTTACCTGTAACTGTAATTATGAAGGTGTTACCTGTAACTGTGACCCGTGAAGATCCGGGGTAGAATAGGTCCTCAGCAACCAATGCTTGTCGTAAGAGGCGACTAACGGGATTGGGTGGTCAGGCTCGCAGACTTGGTCATCGTATCCCAATTGCGTGGATCGATGCTCATGTTGTCAATCATTGGATTGTCTGTTCCAGACTCGATTATTTACAGACCGCCGTCATATAGATGGAATATTGCTGAGTGCGGCGTTAAACAACAAACAAACAAACCTGAAACTGTGGTGATGAAAGTGTGTTACCTGAAACTGGTGATGAATATGTTACCTGTAACTGTAATGATAAATGTGTTACCTGTAACTGTGATGATGATTGTGTTACCTGTAACTGTAGTGATGAATGTGTGTTACCTGTAACTGTGGTGATTAATGTGTTACCTGTATCTGTGATGACGAATGTGTGTTACCTGACAGGAACTATTAGGTTACACAAGTCAAGTTGAGGTGGATGGGTAACGATACAAGACACTTTATGTTCGTCATCGAGCCTTGGTCAACGTAACTCATGCACTCAATGACCTTACGCGCATTCTTAATTTATGAAGGAACATAATCCATCAGTCCCGAGTGTCGAGTGGATTGCTTTTTCTTTTCACATGACCCAAATATATATGTGTGTTACTCCCCTGCACATGATAATCATTGCGTGAAAGGCCGCAAGTTATAACAGAGCTAAACGTTCAGTACACAGTATGTTAATATTTGCTTTAATGACACAAAGAATCAACACGGCTACAATACAGACACCGGGACACGTGTTTGGCAAATCACATTTATTATTTACAGAAAAGAAGACAAGTTGATGAAGACAAATATTACTCATCTGAGACAAAACAAAATGGATTATCGCCACTGGAGTCAGTGCATTGAATGCCACCCAAGTTAGACAATGTACGTGAATGTTAAACTTTTCGCATTTCGTGTCGTGGATGGTTATGTTTTTAAATGATATGGTGACACAAATGACACATCCAGTGCCAAGCAGCAGAATTCCTCGAACTATTGCATGGTATACACTGGGGGCAACACAGAGCAAACTGGGGCATTTACATGATCAGGATGAAATATTTATTTCCTTTTTTGCAGTGGTATCTTTTTAACATGTCTTGAAAATCCCTTTCAATCAATTTCATTAAGCTGAATGTCACATTGAACCAGATCAAAACGGAACATGTTTAAAAAAAGAAGCGCTCATACAATGTCTTCATCTTCCCTCGTACACTCCATCAATACTTCACAGTGGTTTCTGTCCCAGGCTGCCATGACAACAAGACTTGTTCCATCCTCCAAGTGACAGACCCGCCCTGAATATACCAACGTTCCCTTTCTGGGATTAGCTTTAGTGTTAGCTGTTTGTTACTGGAAAGTCATGCATGCTTACTTTAGATACAGTTACACGTAGAATACATCCAAGCGAGCTATACCACCGCCTAGATTCAAGTATATGGTAAATTCATAGTTGATGTACGTTTTATAGAGAATAAATCACTTTGCTACTGAACACTGTTATGTGTGAATAATGATTTCAAATGGAAGCTTTAAATAAACATAAATACACAAATCTAATATAACAAACAATAAATGTACAACACGAAGAACATCGAATCAGTTGCATATCACTGAGTTGGCTAAAATATATCCTGGAGCCTCGCTTATTCGCAAATGCGGATAAAAAGTTTCCACGGAAACACTGGACGAAATGGACAATTTGATTTGTTTTTTTACTCATCCGAAATGATGTCACTTTACATGAAGATCGAACTCCTGCCATCGAGCTTCTATATTTAGAGCTAAGCACTGTTTCTACTTATTTGTTCCCGGCTTTTTGTTGTTTTATATATCTCTGTAATCACTGTGATGATTTGGTTTTATTCAGATCAAAAACAGAAAGTAAATGACGAAATATATTTTTTGAAGTTACTTGTAGGTTTTGGCACAGGTACCAGGTTTGTTGAAGTTAAATAAAATCTTGTTTAGGTGAGGCAATAAAGCAAAACATCATCATAATCGCATTACACATCGCGCACTTAACATTACAGAGCTTCAGACTATTACATGATACACCACTCAGCATTGAAATGTATAATACTCGTGTTAAGCAAACAGACAACAAAGTACCCTTAAGTATGGGAAACAGAATGTCAAACAACCATATTTACAAACGCATCCCTCCGCTGCTGCCTCTCAAAAATATAGTTCCAATATGGCTGCAGTCCCGCGTTTCCTTTCCAAAATATATACACAAAATACGTTGTCCGTCTGTGGTCCTTCTTGAAGATCACACAAGTCTTTATAATTCACTATATCACATTCGTTCTCCACTCCAAGAGTGAATCTAGCCAATAGATTAGCTCAAATGATCCTTCTAACCAATCAGCGCCCAGAGCGTTGCAAAAACGGAAAATGCCTTCTTGACAGCACCTGGGCGTCGAAGCTGTAGCATGCGCCAGGTGTGATGGACACGTCGTCGATGGCAATGTCTCCGAGGGAGCCGCCGGCCACTGCTTCAAATACGATCTGAAGCATAATAAAGTAACATTGTACACAGAGTTGCGTCCGTCAGGCGTGCCAGAAATCTGTAATCGAGGGATTGAATCCAAGATTCGCGTTGCTCATGTTTGAAGGTGTCAGCACTATACCCGTGGTATCGAGTTTTACCGGAGTGGTAACCGTCTAAATAAGACTTGCATCACTTCGAGCTTTCCTCCCACATCAAGATAGCACGCCGAAATATCAATGAAATACTGTTCAAAGTCGTGTTAAACCCAACTCACTCACTCAGTATAAGGTGTCGGCCTATGTCTTAATTAGTAGGGCTACCGGTGTTGTAGACCTCTGATCATGGGTTGGTGTCCGAGTTTTATCCCAGTTATGATCTTTAGTAGTTAGCATCATTCCCCTGTTCCTGATATTTCACAATATTGATCAAGGCTACTTCGTGATGATCCGGGTTTGAATTGGTCTACTCAATGACAAATCTACCACCTACTCAATGGCAAATCTACCACCCACTCAATGACAAATCTACCACCTACTTAATGACAAATCTACCAATCTACCACCTACTCAATGACAAAATCTACCACTTACTCAATGACAAATCTACCACCTACGCAGTGACAAATCTACCACCTACTCAATGACAAATCTACCACCCACTCAATGACAAATCTACCACCTACTAAGTGACAAATCTACCACCTACTCAATGATAAATCTACCACCTACTCAATGACAAATCTAACACTTACTCAATGACAAATCTACCACCTACTCAGTGACATATCTACCACTTACTCAATGACAAATCTACCACCTACTCAGTGACATATCTACCACTGGCTCAATGACAAATCTACCACCTACTCAATGACAATTCTACCACTTACTCAATGACAAATCTACCACCTATTCAATGACAAATCTACCACCCACTCAGTGACAAATCTACCACCTACTCAATGACAAATCTACCACCCACTCAGTGACTAATCTACCACCTACTCAGTGACAAATCTACCACTTACTCAATGACAAATCTACCACCTACTCAGTGACACCTACAAAAATGATATCTCAACAGTTACACCACACTCATCTGAACAGGTCATCGGTACTCCAACCAATGTCTGGTTTGAAATATGGGAGATAAGAGCGCTGAGACCAAGCTGGTCAAGTCTGTCTATGACGTTTCCAACTATTAACGGATTCACATATTCACCTGAAAGTCCTGCTCGGTGCTTGTGACAGTTTGGCGATGACGTCTCCACCAGTTGCCCTTGTCGCCTGTGAGGGACCAGAGCGAGACAATGCCACCCCCCTCCAGCGAGTAGTGGAGGACGCTGAGGGTGCGGACGTCCCTCCCATACATGTGGTACCAGAACTCCAGACAGAAGCCCGAGGACTCGTCTGTCATGCGGGGGGACACCAGACGGGCGACGGAGCCAGGGGCCACGGGCCCTGACGTTTCAATGTAGACGAAGAAGCCTGCAATAAGATAGCAAGATTACAACATGTGTGTAATGTGGACTACGTGTGCCGAGGGGTTGGCGTGAAGTAGCTGCCCCTGCCCTGCTGATCCCAGCAGTCTTCACCGTTTCGCAACCCCACAACAAATCAATTGCTAAGTCCACTGATAAAAATGGGATAACATAATTCATTTCAATAAAATAATACACTTACATTCAATCTGAGATTTGTTTTGTTACATTTGCCTCTTAATATATAAAAGAAAGGAAGCTAGATTATCTTTTCATTTTGAACATGAAGAAATCCACATTTGCCAAAATAATGTAGACTTGCTTGGGGATTTTCACATACTTTTTTTCTGTACGAGAGACTAACAATATATGTACACCATTGATGCAGATAAATAACATTAACGTGTTTCCCAGTGACACAATCTGGCGTATGTCCGTATTTTATATGTAGAGGTTTCTTGCAGCAAGTCTGGGTTTGACAGTAAGTGTTTGAGACATATTACCCACCTGTGCTGGTCGTGTGGTCAGCAGTTGGTCCTGTGCCTGGCGTCCATGTTGAATGATTAGATCTTTCCCAATCAAATGTGTCCAGGGGGGATTGAGCGTTTGTCCATCCGCACCAGTCCGTGTCAAACTTGCAGTTGAACTGTACCATGTCTGAAAGATATCTAAATGGGTTAAACTCCAATAAGGGTATCTAAACTTATATGAGATCGTTTTAAAATACGTCAAAGAGAGTGAACAAGCAGCCTCGACTATCAAATCTTATCAAGGGTGACAGGCAAACTAGAGGGGAATATATGAATGAACACAGGTGTTCATATTCCTCCGCTCTACTGTCACTGTTTAACACTACATGTGTGTGGTGTTTAGTTATGTATCGTGTATGTTGTTAACACTGTGTGGCGCATCACGCTAGACACACTAAGGCTAGACTTATAGACAGCTAGGATAGGTGAAATGGGGTGTAACGTCGCGTCCAAGAATATTGCACTTATATAGCGACGTGCATGCACGTGTGTGTGTGTGTGTGTGTGTGTGTGTGTGTGTGTGTGTGTGTGTGTGTGTGTGTGTGTGTGTGTGTGTGTGTGTGGTTGCTTGTATTAGTCAGGACCGATGCCGATTTAAAGTGCTAGCCCACTGAGGGTAACAGGGTAACAACAAGTACTTTCGTTTAACGTCTTTTGGTACGACGCAGCCGGGGATCGAACCCCGCACCTTCCGCTCTCTGGGTGGCCGCTCTACCACTAGACCACGGAGGCGGTCATAGAATACTAGTAACGTCCAGTCTTCATGGATGATTCATCGGTAGCACCAGAGGTAGAAGTACTCATAAATGAAACTTCAAGATTTCAAAGAGCGTCTACAACTCTTGTTCAGAAGTTGTTTGATCAAGGTTACAACATTCATGGCCTCAGTAAAGCTTTCAAAAGAATTTTATGGTAGACGTGAAGGACATTTGCTAATTTGACACATCAGTGACAAACATGATGTGCGATGCAATTCCCTATTTTCACTTGTACCATGTGTTCCCGTGCTTTTTCAGGTGAACAACTGACTTGCCTTTGCATGTGTTTATGACGGGTGCCACCGGTGGGGCAGGATACGCTCCCCTTTTCGCGAATACCTGGTATCATTACTATTTGATAGTGATTCATAAACAAATGCTCATGATAGAGCTCGGATTCGTACAATCGACCGTGCTTTATGCAGAGATATCTATTGGATATGGGACGGGTTTTGTCTGTATTCCTACTCTGGGCTGGGCATTCTCCCTGACCATACCCTTCATCACCGAGTGAAATAAATGAAATATTGTTCAAAGCGGCGTTAAACACAACTCATTCACTCACTGAGTCTTAAAAGAGGTATCGCATTGCCTGTGATTACCACACACTTGACACCCCCCCCACCCCCCACCCCACACCCCACCCCCTCCCCACTATTACGAGTTACGTCCCTTTTGTGTCCCTCCTATGGACTAATCAGATTCCACCCCTGGTATCACTTGCATTTGCTTCAAATGAAATAGCGGCGCCCAGTCAAGACGATCAGATCGATAATCAAGATCTATATTGTGATGAAACGGGTCTTATATCGCAAAGTGCATCAGAATACGTGAGCACCTAGATTAAAAACAGGAAAATATCTGTTGACACCGAGGTGGTGCACATGCTTTGCAAATTCTGCAATAGACCGAAATCTGCATGACAGTTTACGAATCGCATTTCATTTTCATTGCGCGATTTTGATTGGACTATGCATAGACTGGTTAGTCCAGCCAAAATCTAACTCCATGATACCAGCCTAGTTCGCCAATGGTGGACACTGGACTCTTATAGTCAGCCTACTCTCCTTCCTTGGGAGGATGGTGGGGATAGGTAATACCTGCACATTCGCCGTTGGTGATGTCCACGTTGTCTATAGCCATGTCGCTCCTCCAGCTGGCCCCACGGACGCCCTCAAACACAATCTGAAGCATCAAACAGCATTAACAGTTTTAACCAAGTTAAACTGACAACGTTAACAATACCCACTATTAAATAATGTAGAGAAGAGTTACTGTGTGTACACAACGTGAAGGATGTTGACTAATTTAATCAACAATCAAGGATATGGACAATTCTAATATTGACCCGTGAAGATTCCGGGTTAGAATAGGTCTTCAACAACTAATGCTTGTCGTAAAAGGCGACCAACGGGATCGATACTCGATGCTCATGATGTCAATCACTGGATTGTCCGGCCCAGGCTCGATTTTTTTAGAGACCACCTTCGAATAGTTGGAATATTGCTGAGTGCGGCGTTAGACAACAAACAAACAAACAAACAAACAAACAAACAATTCTAATAATGAACCATTTTGCGGTGTAAGGAGGGATTAGTTGGTCACGACTTCTACCTCTCTGCATTATTTTACATATTAAACTGCACTGATTTTATATTATATTGTTATTCTGTAGCTTGCAGTTTGCATAGGTGAATGTTCCTTATCGTTATGGTAAAATTTGGTTTAAGCTATCAGAAGTCACAATATGACGAGCTGAGGTTGGACATGATATTGTTACAATAATGCACGGGTATGATGACATACTAGTACAGCCAGGCGATGGTGTGGAGTCCGTCTTACAACGCGATCTCCTGTCTAGTTAACGATCCGATGTTAGCTGCTTTACAATAGGCACGCGTGCCGAACACTTAGTTGTATTACAAGAGAGTAATACTTCAGAGAGTATCAGAGATGTCAGCTTACATTCCAAGGGATTTTACCAACATAATTGGAGCAACCGTTATCCATTTTGTGCATTTTGTATTTTAACGGGATTACACCATGATGGCGCTGAATGCGGCTTCAGGGGGATTTGTGAATTATAAATAAAGGTTCTCATTCTGATTTTACCAACCTGAAAAGGCGATTTGGGGACAAGGTCGATCTGTTCTCGATGCCACAGGTTTCCATGGTCACCAGACCTCTGCCACAGCAGCTGAGGTTCTGCTCCCAGCTCTACATTATATACTCGCAGAGTTCCCATGGAGCTCCCGAACATATGGTATGAGAACGAGAGACATCTTGGTCCACCTCCCTGCTTGTACAATAAACACAGACGTAAGTAACAAAATAACAGACCTAACTGCAGCCTGCACCTCCTGGCTCGGCGAATGCGCTTTGTCGCCACAGATACAGATACGAACACCAATAAAGTAACAATAACTGTACCCATATGGAGAATTGAACACGGACCTTTGCGTCATATGCAGGCGCTCTCCTTACAGGGCTTATTCGGGTTGAACATAAGAAAATTTTTTAAAAATGATGCATGTTAAAGTTAAAGATTGCAGTGATATTCTGAGACTGCGAATACCTTTAAGACAGGAGTGGCTATTCTGGCTGTGTCGCCCGACTTCCTTGGGCTCGATGCTTCCGTGTACAGATATGTGCCTGTAATTTATTACAACAGCAATTTTAACATGTGACAATCATTATATATTATTGTATATATAATATATTATCGTTGAACAGAAGAATGTATTTTCATCATTATCGTTAGGAATCATTGACCTAGATATTCGTAAAAAATGATCAACTTGCCCAGCTTCCAATGATACGCTTATCCAAACATACATTAATATATACATTACTCTGTGAGCCTTCAGTGGGAAATTGGGAAAAATATACAGATACTCTATTCTCATATAGATCTATGATCTTTGGGCGTGTACTGATGTCATATTCATATTATGATCTCTGTGAACTCTGTGTGTGTGTGTGTGTGTGTGTGTGTGTGTGTGTGTGTGTGTGTGTGTGTGTGTGTGTGTGTGTGTGTGTGTGTGTGTGTGTGTGTGTGTGTGTGTGTGACGTGAAAGCGTATTGACATCCTGTTCACATATTACTGGGTTGTGGGGGACTTATTGTGTATTGATGTGTATTAATATCAAATTCACAGATGGATCTTCTCAGTTACAGTATGATAACTACCTCGGACCGATTCACTTACAGCTTGGATGTGAACTATTGCACCGAGTATCTCACCGTTGGCGCAGTCGGTGGGGTCACAGTCGGGTCCGGTGTTGAAAGTAGAGGTGGAATCCTTCTCCAATGTCCAGTCAAAGACGTCGTCCTTAGACTGTATCCAGCCACAAGTGTCGCTGTTGAAGTCGCACGACATCGTCTCCGGTGTAGCAGCTGCAACATCGACGTTGTTAAAGACATATTAATGATCGCAAAAAAGGCAGGGGAGCAGATCAGACGGTCCGTCATGTACAGAGTTCGTGTATGTCATGTACAGAATATATTGTCACTGGTTTGTGTCTCTATTTTCTCCAGGCATTTGATATTGAGACAACCGTTTTAACTTCATAACTTGCTCTATATATTTATGTACCGTTAACAGGATAGACAAAAACATATTAGACTTGTACGAAGTAATTTGTGACAACATTTCCTTCTATGGTATTTCTATGTATGACTCATGTACTGTGGAAAGGGCCAAGTTTCGGCGCGACTGGTTGTGTGTTGTCAGAGTATGGCCATGAGATACGTGTACGCATGACGTCGTGCAAGTACCTGCAGTGAAGGCCTAATCCCAGACATGCACACTGAATTTGCACAGGCCGATCCAGGATTTTCCACAAATGTGTGTAGTTGCGTGGTGTAGGGTTGGGGTGAGGGTGGGGGTGGGGTGAGTTGAGGGTGGGGGTGAGGGTGGGGGTGCGGTGAGGGTGGGGTTAGGGGTGAGGGGTGGGATGAGGGTGGGGGTGCGGCTGGTGTGTCCACTACTCGAGCGAAAAAACATATTCGGCGTCTTCATCATTTTGTGGTTCATTTTCGACAGTAGTCGATGCGAGGACCTTTAGAGCAGACAGACGCCGGCAAACATTGGATATACAAGCAACAGGAAGCCCCATCTTCAATGGCATCAACCACGACACTGTCACTGTTTGAGGAGATTCATCTCCGAATGAAATATCGGCCATTGCGGGAATATTTACTTTTCACTACTACATGTCGTTAAATCTGGCACCATCTGAAGTCTTAACTGTTTCATCCTCAACTGAGATCATCAGCGCTGAAGATATTACATCGCCTGTGCATTACTTGTTATGAGGAGTATGAGCGAACACGAACTTCGTCCCACCATGTGCGTCCTCAACTCGGTTGCTGGGACACGTGGCCAGGATCGTGCCACGCGTGTTGTGTGATGCTTTGTCTGTTGTCAGGTGTCCGATATCCTTCCTGAGTTTGAACACATCATGACTCAGAGGTATTCCATTAATCTATTACATAGATGTTGTCCAATATGTGAAACATATAACATGGGTAATAAACCTGGTAGTGTTCATCAGATCTGGAAGAGATTCTCCCACCAGCCATGACAATGTGGCTCTGACAGTTATGGTAGGCACGGCCATGTTATGTTGTTTAGAACAATGACACAGAGTTATTCGCAAGTATTTATTTTGTCACATGCAAATCACAGGGAACAGAGGAGTATTCAAAGCAGAAGCATCTGCATCATATTATGCATTGTTTTGTGGATCTCTGTCACTGGAAAATACAGCATCCATGACTATACTATCACAGTAATGTTGCGGGTAGCTCACAGACACCTTTACGAAATGCATACACTGTATCTGAACATTAGGCTTATGTCTGATATAACATGCTGGTCAGACCACACGGGTATACATCCATGAACCAACCTCATCCCCCCAACCTCTCAATACCCCGTTATAGCAAAGATATGAGTTATACTTCGGTTTACTCGATTTCGAGTTATAACGTTCTCTTTCGGCCATGTAAAACCGTCATTCCTATCGAAGAAAATGCCCGCTATTATAAACACTGCCTGCATACCACAGTTGTTGCTTGGAGGCCAAATGCAATCCGTACACGCAGTTGAGCGGCCGTGTTGTGTTGTTAGTGATACACGTGTATCTGAATGATGGTTGTCGGTAGGGCGGCAAAACTGAAAACCTTTGCTGTACAATCAGCTGCATTATCAGGAACATTACAGCAGTGTCTATACTACTCTCCGATTGCTAAGCACAATCGATATCAAAGTACGGTATCATTTATGTAGGCCAACCACAACGGATTCAACAAATACAGTGTTGAAACTGTCGACAGTTCAACATGCTGAGAGCTTGAAGTTCATAAATTTTGAAGGCTCACTTCTTGTTGGTGCCAATGAGACTGGTTGTATGACAATGTGAGAATCAGATCTATGGCGGTCTAATCCCTGGGACATCGTTTTATTCGTGAAGGACATGTCCATGATTGTCACATGCTGTCATGTGCAGGGTGAGATACACACATGACGCCATGAACGCGATGGCCTCATTCTGAGTGAGTGAGTGAGTTTGGTTTTACGCCGCTTTTAGCAGTATTCCAGCAATATCACGGCGGGGGCCACCAGAAATGGGCTTCACACATTGTCCCCATGTCGGGATTCGAACCCGGGTCTTCGGCGTAACGAGCGAACGCTTTAACCACTAGGCTACCCGACCACCCCGGCCTCATTCTGAAGGAATGTAAATGGATGCTTCCCGTGATTCCTGCTTGTTCCCCTTCATTATTTTAACTCTTTGACACCCCTTGTTAACCTCTGGATGAATTTGGGGGCACGAATGTCTCACTCGTCATAGCCACCGTACAGAGTTGCGTCCCTTTGGGCATGCCAGAAACCTATGATTGTTGGTTCGAATCCCGGTTCTCCCTGATAATGTTTCTAGGTTTGTCAGCACCGTGACCGTTTTTCTGCTTGCACTGAAGTGGAAAACGTGTAAGACCTGCCTCACTCTCTTCCCACATTCAGCCAACACGCCGGGATGTAACTGAAATGCTGATCAAAGCGGCCTTAGTCCAAACCACGTGGGGTGGTTTATACTTATGGTACTGTATGTATAGGTCTTTCTATTACGTTCCTGGTCATGTCATGGTAACATCAGACATAACTAGACACCATGCCACAGATCTGATTCTTACACATATATAGTATGCATTAAATTATACACAGCAGCAGGAACATATTTCATTCGTGTTTGTTATTTCAAGAGCTCGACTAATGATTGGGTGTGGATTATGGTCCTAGCAACCTTGGAGTATTATGAACATATGATAGTGCAACACTGCAGCCGAGCGTAGATCTACATGTCTATATGTGTATCAGTACCGTTGACAAGTGTTGACAGGCTGTCGCAGGATCCAACAACGATGTCGTCGACGGCCATGTCGCTCTTGAAGCTGCTCCCGGCCACCGCCTCGAATACCAGCTGATAAAACAGACACAACAGTTTCAAACCAAACCTCGGTGATACAAAAACATTCTTGAAAAAAATAATTAAGCTTCAGAATGCCGAAAAAAATGCCTGCCACAAAAATGACATTGTTGCAAGGTGTTTTTCTTTTTAAAAAAATAAGCTCATAGTTTTACGTAAAAAAATAAATGGTTTTGCAGCTTAAGCAGAAAAAATAGAAAAATAGAAAACATTATCTATACAAAAGCCCCCCTCACCCACAACCCTACCCCCGAATATCAAATTATCCCGGCAATATGTTGTATACATGCTGTAATCTAGCATATGCTTATAACGAGTTTTCTATCTGAGTCTGTGTCCACTCAGTGTGGTGCTGTATACTAGCATATGCTTATAACGAGTTTTCTATCTGAGTCTGTGTCCACTCAGTGTGGTGCTGTATACTAGCATATGCTTATAACGAGTTTTCTATCTGAGTCTGTGTCCACTCAGTGTGGTGCTGTATACTAGCATATGCTTATAACGAGTTTTCTATCTGAGTCTGTGTCCACTCAGTGTGATGCTGTATACTAGCATATGCTTATAACGAGTTTTCTATCTGAGTCTGTGTCCACTCAGTGTGATGCTGTATACTAGCATATGCTTATAACGTGTTCTCTATCTGAGTCTGTGTCCACTCAGTGTGGTGCTGTATACTAGCATATGCTTATAACGAGTTTTCTATCTGAGCCTGTGTCCACTCAGTGTGGTGCTGTATACTAGCATATGCTTATAACGTGTTCTCTATCTGAGTCTGTGTCCACTCAGTGTGGTGCTGTATACTAGCATATGCTTATAACGAGTTCTCTATCTGAGTCTGTGTCCACTCAGTGTGGGGCTGTATACTAGCATATGCTTATAACGAGTTCTCTATCTGAGTCTGTGTCCACTCAGTGCGATGCTGTATACTAGCATATGCTTATAACGAGTGTGCTATCTGAGTCTGTGTCCACTCAGTGTGGTGCTGTATACTAGCATATGCTTATAACGAGTGTTCTATCTGAGTCTGTGTCCACTCAGTGTGATGATGTTTACTAGCATATGCTTATAACGAGTTCTCTATCTGAGTCTGTGTCCACTCAGTGTGATGCTGTATACTAGCATATGCTTATAACGAGTTCTCTATCTGAGTCTGTGTCCACTCAGTGTGGTGCTGTATACTAGCATATGCTTATAACGAGTTTTATATCTGAGTCTGTGTCCACTCAGTGTGATGCTGTATACTAGCATATGCTTATAACGAGTGTTCTATCTGAGTCTGTGTCCACTCAGTGTGATGCTGTATACTAGCATATGCTTATAACGAGTGTTCTATCTGAGTCTGTGTCCACTCAGTGTGATGCTGTATACTAGCATATGCTTATAACGAGTTTTCTATCTGAGTCTGTGTCCACTCAGTGTGATGCTGTATACTAGCATATGCTTATAACGAGTTTTCTATCTGAGTCTGTGTCCACTCAGTGTGATGCTGTATACTAGCATATGCTTATAACAAGTTCTCTATCTGAGTCTGTGTCCACTCAGTGTGATGCTGTATACTAGCATATGCTTATAACGAGTTTTCTATCTGAGTCTGTGTCCACTCAGTGTGGTGCTGTATACTAGCATATGCTTATAACGAGTTTTCTATCTGAGTCTGTGTCCACTCAGTGTGATGCTGTATACTAGCATATGCTTATAACGAGTTTTCTATCTGAGTCTGTGTCCACTCAGTGTGGTGCTGTATACTAGCATATGCTTATAACGAGTTTTCTATCTGAGTCTGTGTCCACTCAGTGTGGTGCTGTATACTAGCATATGCTTATAACGAGTTTTCTATCTGAGTCTGTGTCCACTCAGTGTGATGCTGTATACTAGCATATGCTTATAACGAGTGTTCTATCTGAGTCTATGTCCACTCAGTGTGATGCTGTATACTAGCATATGCTTATAACGAGTTTTCTATCTGAGTCTGTGTCCACTCAGTGTGATGCTGTATACTAGCATATGCTTATAACGAGTGTTCTATCTGAGTCTGTGTCCACTCAGTGTGATGCTGTATACTAGCATATGCTTATAACGAGTTTTCTATCTGAGTCTGTGTCCACTCAGTGTGATGCTGTATACTAGCATATGCTTATAACGAGTGTTCTATCTGAGTCTGTGTCCACTCAGTGTGATGCTGTATACTAGCATATGCTTATAACGAGTTTTCTATCTGAGTCTGTGTCCACTCAGTGTGATGCTGTATACTAGCATATGCTTATAACGAGTGTTCTATCTGAGTCTGTGTCCACTCAGTGTGATGCTGTATACTAGCATATGCTTATAACGAGTTTTCTATCTGAGTCTGTGTCCACTCAGTGTGATGCTGTATACTAGCATATGCTTATAACGAGTTTTCTATCTGAGTCTGTGTCCACTCAGTGTGATGCTGTATACTAGCATATGCTTATAACGAGTGTTCTATCTGAGTCTGTGTCCACTCAGTGTGATGCTGTATACTAGCATATGCTTATAACGAGTTTTCTATCTGAGTCTGTGTCCACTCAGTGTGATGCTGTATACTAGCATATGCTTATAACGAGTTTTCTATCTGAGTCTGTGTCCACTCAGTGTGATGCTGTATACTAGCATATGCTTATAACGAGTTTTCTATCTGAGTCTGTGTCCACTCAGTGTGATGCTGTATACTAGCATATGCTTATAACGAGTGTTCTATCTGAGTCTGTGTCCACTCAGTGTGATGCTGTATACTAGCATATGCTTATAACGAGTTTTCTATCTGAGTCTGTGTCCACTCAGTGTGATGCTGTATACTAGCATATGCTTATAACGAGTGTTCTATCTGAGTCTGTGTCCACTCAGTGTGATGCTGTATACTAGCATATGCTTATAACGAGTGTTCTATCTGAGTCTGTGTCCACTCAGTGTGATGCTGTATACAAGCATATGCTTATAACGAGTTTTCTATCTGAGTCTGTGTCCACTCAGTGTGATGCTGTATACTAGCATATGTTTATAACGAGTTTTCTATCTGAGTCTGTCCACTCAGTGTGATGCTGTATACTAGCATATGCTTATAACGAGTTTTCTATCTGAGTCTGTCCACTCAGTGTGATGCTGTATACTAGCATATGCTTATAACGAGTTTTCTATCTGAGTCTGTCCACTCAGTGTGATGCTGTATACTAGCATATGCTTATAACGAGTGTTCTATCTGAGTCTGTGTCCACTCAGTGTGGTGCTGTATACTAGCATATGCTTATAACGAGTGTTCTATCTGAGTCTGTGTCCACACAGTGTGATGCTGTATACTAGCATATGCTTATAACGAGTGTTCTAGCTGAGTCTGTGTCCACTCAGTGTGATGCTGTATACTAGCATATGCTTATAACGAGTGTTCTATCTGAGTCTGTGTCCACTCAGTGTGGTGCTGTATACTAGCATATGCTTATAACGAGTGTTCTATCTGAGTCTGTGTCCACTCAGTGTGATGCTGTATACTAGCATATGCTTATAACGAGTTTTCTATCTGAGTCTGTGTCCACTCAGTGTGATGCTGTATACTAGCATATGCTTATAACGAGTGTTCTATCTGAGTCTGTGTCCACTCAGTGTGATGCTGTATACCTGGAAGCTGCTTGAGTCGTCGAGGACGAAGACCGCCATATGCCAGCTGGTGCCATGGTTGTCGGACAGGGAGAACTTAGGGACGTTCTTGCCCCCGACCCGCTGGTAGACGTTCAGCGTCCCCATCGTCTTGCCGTACATGTTGTAGTGGAACCTGTCACGGCAGAAACACAATATCATGTTGATTTTAGAAGTAGATTAGTGTGTACTGCTGTTGTATCGTTGTATAACTCTAGGCATGGTCTCTGGTCACCAGTCATTATGTGGCTATGTAAACAGTGCATTTGTTCATATACACATACTTTGATGCTTTCTTCAGTGTTCAAAATGAAGGTTTTTTTATGTATATAACGCCAATAAAATTTAAAGTTAATCATCAGCACAACATGCTAGTGTCATAGATACATGAATACATATACACCCAGGCCTTCGATGAAATGTGCATCTGAATACATGTATAGTTAGGCAGATGAATCATTTATAATATGTTTAACAGTAATTTATACATAATTAGTTTTAAATTTCTTTCTCAATAACCTTATGGTATTATCATGTTCATGTGATGTTACATTTGAATGTATTGCATGTGCATTGTAGCTATGAAATATGCGTTTCCGTCACACACTTACGCAAGACATGCCTTGGTTCCCAGGAAACTGAAAGTAGGGGAGATAAGCCTTGCCCGGTCACCCTCCTTGCAGGGTGTGGAGCTCTCTAGGTAGATGTAGTAACCTGAAGAGATAGGACCATACAAGCACTGGGGCACACAGACACACATCATTGACATAAGTGTCACATACAGTAATACTAGAGACATACAGCATTGACACACACATGTTACTTACATACCACGAAAGCCATACAGCAGTGACATAAAATACCCCCTACAGTACCATCAGAGACATACAGAATTGACACACACATGTTACTTACATACCACGAAAGCCATACAGCAGTGACATAAAATACCCCTTACAGTACCATGAGAGACATACAGAATTGACAAATAAATACCACACACAATACCATTTTATACGTATAGCTTTGACACCACAAATACCCCATACAGCACTGGCATACAAATACCCCATACAGTTCCACGAGAGACATACAGCATTGATATACAAATACACACCATACAGTGCTAGAGATACGTTCTGCACTGACCTACAAATACCCCATACAGTACCATGAGACATACAGCATTGACCTACAAGTATTCAGTACCACGACATAATGGCTTTCAAGGCAGAAATAACAAAGGTTCACATTTATATAATGGAAACAATATGGTCGAATAATTCTCGATCACCTCCTCAGTGTCTGTGACATATATATTAACATACTATACAGTATTTATTGTTTGTAATCAGTTTGGTGCATCGTGGACCAGTAGAGTTTTCACTGTTCAGGATGACAAGTATTTCTTTTTATTCATCCCAGGGGTACATAGTCATTGTATCATAAGAGGTATCAAATTACATGGTAAATATCATGAGACATATGTACAGGATGTGATATATGTGTTATGGTTTTCCCCATTAAACTCCATGTTCTAATGAAAGAAACTGTTGTTCTGTTTCTTTTTGCAATGAACAACTCGACATGGTAAATATATTTCAGTATATTTCTATATAAACATGGTTTTATTCCTGTAATATGTGACACGTAAATGTGTCAGGCTGACAAGTAGGTGCCCTCGCCATACCTTCTGACGTCCCCATGGTATGGTCAGCCTTGGGTCCAGTTGAGTCTGACGGCGTGCTGCGGTTGTGGAGGGTCCAGTTCTGCTCGTCTGTGTAGTCCTGCTTCCAGCCACACAGGGTGCCCTGGTCCAGGTTGCAGTAGTGCAGGTAACCCCCTTTGTACGAAGCTGAAACCAATGGCAGCGTGCCCAGGTAGCGATGATGAAGTAGTGAGTGAGTTAGGTTTACCGCTGTGGGCATCAACATTACAGCCATTTCAGGGCAAGGGACACAAGAGTGAGTGAGTGAGTTAGGTTTACCGCTGTGGGCATCAACATTACAGCCATTTCAGGGCAAGGGACACAAGAGTGAGTGAGTGAGTTAGGTTTACCGCTGTGGGCATCAACATTACAGCCATTTCAGGGCAAGGGACACAAGAGTGAGTGAGTGAGTTAGGTTTACCGCTGTGGGCATCAACATTACAGCCATTTCAGGGCAAGGGACACAAGAGTGAGTGAGTGAGTTAGGTTTACCGCTGTGGGCATCAACATTATGCCATTTCAGGGCAAGGGACACAAGAAGGGGTTACAAGCATGTAATGGTCTGCTTCCCGAACGAACAAGTGACAGATGAACATATGAAGTCACACAACATGAAGGTGCAGGGACAACCCGGGAAATTGCATGGAGGATATAACTTTTCCGTTGAATGCTTGTCTTTGAAACAATGAACTCGGACGACTGAAGGGAAAATCTACGAGTTCGAGGTTCCAAAATGGTAAGAAATCAGCTCGGATCTACTCACGCAGACAGACAGGGAAGTTGCCGGTCCAGTCCCCGAGGTCCATGCAGTACCGCGCGTTACTTCCCACCAGAGTATAGCCACTTTGACACTTGTACTTCACCGTCTTCGACACCTTGAAGTCGTCGCCCACACGGACGCCATTCTTTGGGATGCCGGCGTCGGGGCAGTGGGTTATATCTGGGAAGTGGAGAACACAGGTTGAAGCCATCGAACAAAATAACAAAGTTAATACATTACAATATAAGCGACCAACCCCTTTCGATATTCATAAAACATACCTGCCAAAAGCAGACCCGACTGTACGATTCCGACTATATCATGAGCATGTATTTATGAATCACGATCAAATAATGATGATACCACGTGTTTACGAAAAGGTACCCGTCACAACACATGCAAAGGTAAGTCAATTCTTCACTATAACGAGAATTTAAATTTGAAAAAGAATTACAGCGTAACATTCTACTCCCGTAAAAGCCTAGTTTCAGCTCTGCCATTAACATGTAATACGTGTTATGTTAATGTATATACAAGTATATAAAACGTCCACACCAGAGAATAACCAGTCTGGATTATCCGACGAAACAAATTCATTTGGGCGTAAACGGCATTAAAATAAAACATGAATTAATGTTTATTCACTATTAAGTCATATTTTCAATTTAACTTAACTGAACCTTGTGAGACTACACTTTACGTCGGTCATTGTCCTATTACTGCCTTTGTCTCTGTCGCGGGGGTCCCTCCCATCAGTCTGCAGCACCATCGACCACTTTATAAATATCACAATACTCACACTACATTGCGCTGTTATTTTGAGGATAAACTTCTATACTCACTACATCTGTACAGTCTGTTAATCTTGAAGATGTCGATGGCAGACAGGTGCTCTCTCTGCCCCATGACCACGCCCCTGGGGAGCGGGAACTTGGACAGAATGGTTGGCTTGGACCTATCCAAGGCGAAGGTGTTGTTGCGGTAGTGCATGATGGAGCCGTAGTCGTAGGGGGCTCCGAGGGTGTCGATGTCGTCGGAGGAGTAGGACTTGAAGTTGTCCTCGTGTTCTGGAATACGAGTACGTGTGTGAATTTTGGCTATTCAGGCAATTATTGATATAAATATTTCGCCACTATCGCGTTAAGAATGATGTTCAGATAATATAACCATTGGAGATATCGAACTCGGATCTTATTCCCTACAAGTCAACATCAGAACTATTAAAAAGACCAACCCGAAATGATGAACTCATGTTGGTCACCGGGATGTCATCTTCAATGCTCAATATGAGGGTATGTAGTAATGAAATAAACAGATTTATACCGCAATACATTTTAGGGATGATAATATGTCCAGTTTTTCATAATAATATCGTCCTTAAATCAAACACAGTTATTTGAAATTATGTGAGTGACCTCATTTTCATTTTCTTGACATTCCAAATGCATCATGTCCCTCGCAACTAAGAGGAACCGGACCTCCCGTTAATGACTTGTAATGCACATGTTGGATGGCATTTACAAATACAAGGAGTTACCACGCAATACATGTTCAATAATGTCCAGACAGGGCTTTTGTTTTTAAATGTTGTCCCACATGATGGTGATGTAGTGATCCCTGTCAGGTCGACTATACTCACCTTTAGCTATGTTGTCCCACATGATGGTGATGTAGTGGTCCCTGTCAGGTCGACTATACTCACCTTTAGCTATGTTGTCCCACATGATGGTGATGTCGTGATCCCTGTCAGGTCGACTATACTCACCTTTAGCTATGTTGTCCCACATGATGGTGATGTAGTGGTCCCTGTCAGGTCGACTTTACTCGCCTTTAGCCATGTTGTCCCACCTGATGGTGATGTAGTGATCCCTGTCAGGTCGACTATACTCACCTTTAGCTATGTTGTCCCACATGATGGTGATGTAGTGGTCCCTGTCAGGTCGACTATATTCACCTTTAGCTATGTTGTCCCACATGATGGTGATGTAGTGATCCCTGTCAGGTCGACTATACTCGCCTTTAGCTATGTTGTCCCACATGATGGTGATGTAGTGATCCCTGTCAGGTCGACTATATTCGCCTTTAGCTATGTTGTCCCACATGATGGTGATGTAGTGGTCTCTGTCAGGTCGACGATACTCACCTTTAGCTATGTTGTCCCACATGATGGTGATGTAGTGATCCCTGTCAGGTCGACTATGTTCGTGCCAGAAGCCAAGGGAGTGCATCAGCTCGTGCATGATGGTGCCCTTGTTGTCACAGTTGGAGTCGATGGACACTTTCTGTTTCCCTCCCTTCCGACCCACGGAGCTGGAACAGCTGTAGGTGACACATCAATATGCAGTCAAGATGGTTGACATTGGTTGACACATAACGGCTCAAACCCTCCATGTTAATAACGTGACTTGTACTGTATCATTTGTTTATTTATTTGTTTGTTTGGTGTTTAACGCTGCACTCAGCATTATTCGAGCTATATGACGTCGGTCTGTAATTAATCGAGTCTGGACCAGATATTCCAGTGATTGACATCGATCCACGCAATTGGGATACGATGACATGCATCAACCAAGGCAGCGAACCTGACTACCTGATCCCGTTAGTCGCCTCTTATGACAAGCATAGACGCCTCTTACGACAAGCATTGGTTGCTGAAGATAAATTCTAACCCGGAATCTTCGCGGGACTATACCATAACGAATATACCTGTGTGTCTGTATTGCACGGAACACATTAAAAAACGATTTAATTTCATAAAAAAACAGTATTTAGCACTGATCAACTTATGATGCCGATTTATCAAGAAATGTGAAGCAAATTGGAAATACCTACAAGTATAGGTAATGAATATGAAGATTCGAGTGCGTGAGGGAGGGAGTTACGCCGCTTTTAACAATATTCTATTTATATCACGGCGTGTCAGCTTAATGTGGGAGGAAAGCCCGAAGTGATGCAGGTCTCAGACGTTTACCACTTCGGTGAAACCCACGAGCAAGGGTATGGTGCTGACAAACCCAGAAACATAATCGGGGCAAACCGTGGAGATTCAATTGACAAATGGCAGCAGTGTTGTCTCCACCGTTGGTAGACCACAGTTCTCACACATTGTAACGAAGAGTAATTTATAAACAAAGAATTTACCCTCCATCGGGCAGAATTCGAATGTAATCAGGCTCGATTGTCCGGGGGCGGAACCGGACGCACGTTTTTTGCTCGAACTCCTCCATAGCCATTCGCATTTCACGGCGTTGATTTTCATCTGTAATAACAAAGATTATGATGATAGAAGACTTGCAAGTACTTGCCACCGACAGCTAGAAGGTTGTGGTGAAAGTGAACTGACAATGACAGTTGGGGTACGATTTAACAGCAATACAAGCAGATTGTGCGTGAATGAGTGAGTTGGGTTTAACGCCGCTTTTAACAGTATTCCAGTTATATCACGGCTTGTCAGCTTGATGTGGAAGGAAAGTCCGAAGTGATGCAGGTATTAGGTGTTTACCACTTTGGTAAAACCCACGCGTGCGGCTATTCTGCTGACACCCCCCCAACACACACACACACACACACACCTTCCCGACTTGCATTTACGCGTGTAATTGGAGCTCAGTTCACATGAAAAGAGCACTACCATACCCCTTCCTGGTATTTTAAGCTCAAGTTGTGAGAGCGTGATTCTGAGCAGCCTAGATTACCCCCTTGGTACACATGCACTTACCATAGGAACTCTGTATTTCATACGGAACGGTCCTGTTCAGCCATGTTCCATACAGATCCCGGACTGCGTTGCGCCTCTGTAAATGATAATGGTATATATTGGATATAGCGATTCATCATTACTCGAATATACAATAGGAACAGTTAACCCGCTTTAATGATGGTTGCGCCTCAGAATGTATCTTGTGGGAAACCGTACATTGCGTGAAACTAGGGCGGCAATAACACTACGTTGTACACAGGATTATGAGATCAAACTTACATTTCAGCTGTAAGATCCTGGATCGGTCATGCTAATTACCGCGCGTTGTAAACATAGATTCAAATAGAACTCATTTTTATTCAACGATTTACTTATCATTAATTTCAAAGTGTTTAAAATCTTCATTCAATAATTTTTTTCTCTCTATATATGTATGGTTCTTTTTTAATGTTTACTTCATTAATAGATATGTTTATATACGTTATAATACATGCACATTCACATCTAAAGTGCTGATTTAGCAAAGAACAGTTTCTAATGAATCTCACAATGCTTTCGCCGTGACATACAAGAATGTTGATATAGATGTATTGAAATAAGTTGGCACTTTCACCATTTGGGTCTCAATCTGACACTGACATACTTGCCACATAAGTGGAACTGTTGCACAATTAAACCTAATTTAATTTCGTTAAGAAATCACCACTGTCACTACCCGCCGACATACGTCTGGTCTAAACTCAAGAACCCCTACGGGAATGTACGTCAGTAGCCCATGGTATACCGCGAACACTGTCACTGCCAGCATCGTAGTAGTCGGATGTCAGAAACAGACATAAACTATGGTAATAAGGTTGTTAACGTGGCTCAAGGTCGGACTGACATTGTGGTTTAAAAGACCATTCATAAGGTAAACCTGGTTCCATTCATGGGAGACGTTTCAAGGAATATCATACATGAAGATTACATCTCTCGTTGTAAGCATCGCTCACATTACGGCGCACTGAGGAATGCGGGACCGTGGTCTACTACTGCAAGCGTAATAAATTCCACTTGAGTAGACATGGAATGAGCTAATGGGTTCTTGGTCGCGATGTATATCTAAACTTAACACAATTTCAAGTGCATCGTGTTTAAACAGAACATGCATAGAAGCAGCTGTATGAGTCTTGCACAAGACAGAACAAAAATCACAAAACATTAAAGATCAAGGCCACGGACATAAAACACAAGGGAGGAGGGAGGAGGCGTGGAATACCGCCATTCTGTGTGGCATGTGCAGAATGGAAACAGGAAGAGGTCACGGCAATGGTGACACAAGAATGGGAGGTACAAAAACTACATTTATTATTTCCAGACCACTTAGAATTAACATCTGAAGGGACAGTTTATAAATATTAAAGAGATGGATGATTTGTTCAGATTGGTGCCATAACGTGTTGTTCTACTACTCAAAAGACGTTACAGATCAAATCGGGTGTTCTTTAAATTCTTTTGAGCAGTATAATTTCCAGAGACGAATAGAATCACACGGTGGACATGCTCCAGTTTTTCAATGGTGTTCTGTAGATAAAGATTTGAAAGTAAACATGCTGAGTCAACAGGAAACATTAAAAGACATTATTTCTACAACTAATACAGACAAGCTGATTGGATGCTGAATATCACGTGACGTGCAGGACAAGAGAGGCACTGCAGGCCAGTCTTACAGAATAGCACCTTAGGTTGTCTTCTTTTCCGGACCATTCCGATCATGTCATTCGGCTTCAGAGATCCAACAAATATTTCAACATCAGTATAGCAACATGTGTGATTACTTGTCATTACTAGTCATTACTAGTCATAACTCGTCATACTAGAAGCTTTTATAATCGTGATTATTGAGACATCTTAGAGAAAAAAAACATAAATTAAATAACTTAATTAATAGATAGTTGCAGATGCAGTTGTGCATCCAAAATGGTGTTTTGTATTCGACTGTATGGTGTTACAGGTAAAAGTATTTATAAAGACATTAACGTATGACGTATCTTTGAAACGAAATGACGGATTGTAATCCAGAATATTGACTATAGGGCCTACTTACCAAGTCGAGGACAATGTCTCCCTCAGCCAGTATCACAGAGTCAATGCCTGGAAGTAAAGCAAGAGTAGACATGATGAAGAGTAGACATGATGTTAATGGAAGACGTGTCCATGAGGCATGCGTACACATCAACGTACGTTACAGTGTGCAATCTAAGAAACCAAAGGGGGCCACTTATCTAGTAACGGGAGTTCTGAGCAATCTTGGGGTTCATGAAATGATACAATATGTTGTACAATAGATCATATTGATAACAATGACTAACAATACTTAATTAACGGTTGTGACTTGTCAGATAATTGTGATAAAACAGTAAAGTCTCATTTGTTGGAACAGGTCATTGTAGTCCCATATACTACAGTCCATGGTTAAGGGAAACACACTGCCTGCTTGAAGTGTTTGTTTTTTCAGGTGATCAGTTGACTTGCCTTTGCATGTGTTTGTGACGGATTCCATCGGTGGAGCAGGATACGCTCACCTTTTCGCGAACACCTGGTATCATCACTTTTTGTTATTCTACCATGAATTTGGAACATTCGCGATTTTGATTCGTCAATCAGAGGTTTCAAATCACAATAAACCCCCTCTGATTGAAACAACCGATTTGACGGCCGCTTCAACGCGGTAACTAATATTCATAGAATAGTACTTATTTAAGTTATTGTCGGTAGGCATATTTAAATAATTATACGTACAATTATAGGATTCAAAATGCAAAGTTACGGTTTCTACAATATTCAAAGGATTGTGGTACCACATTTCTTACAGAAAACACGATAGAAATCTGCAAAGAGAATGTATTTCAAGTTTTGGGACAACAGAGAGCTTGGAATTTGGCGCTTTTCTATATACTACTTTGACGTCATATCTTCTGCGTCACAATATACGATACGACGTCATAATGGGGCGTGCGGTGTAGTACGAAACCTTTGCAAGGTTTGATTAGTTTTCTTTAGGGGTGCCCGCCACATGCTGGCTTACGAAATTGCCGTGCTTATATGATTTTAATGACTGTCATATGTTCGAGTGAAGCATTACGGTGTAAACAAACTGCTTGAGCATATACAGCGCCATATTTTGTTTAAAGACTGTTGTCGGTGATTCCGTAATTCAGATCGACAACCCACTCAAAACACTGGACTCAACCCATGACGCTTCACCCAATATATTTGCTAACACCAAAGAGTTCGCATTTCATTTAGTCATGGTAGAATGGAGAAACACATACTGTGTTTTCAATGTAGAGCTGGGCTAACTGTAGATTTAACCGCGCTAAATTTAACATTGGAATCCTCACGCTGCGTTGTCGGGTCCAAATTCAATTTAACGCGGTTCAATCTATAGGTAACCTAGGCCCTACAATGAAAACACAGTATGCTTATCTCCTTAGTGATCAAGGAACATATGCTCTTGAGATAGTCAGAATCAAGGGAGGTGGGGGGGACTCATGGATTGTATCTTATGTATTGTTTCCACACGACGTTTTGGTACAGATGCTGGTAACGTTACCAAGGATATAGCATCGTATAGCCTTCTAGAAACGGTGAAAACAAACGAAACCATTAAAATAAAAAATGCACGATAACGTCTAAACCATGATACATATGTGAGCTCACGAGTCTCTTTCTGTGAAGGTAATATTAATGTCTCGCTGAAACAGTACAGACCCGTGAAGATCCGGGGTAGAATACATGTAGGTCTTCAGCAACCCATGCGTGCCGTAAAAGGCGACTATGCTTGTCGTAAGAGGCGACCAACGGGATCGGGTGGTCAGGCTCGCATACTTGATTGATGCATGTCAGCGTAACCCAGTTGCGTGAATCGATGCTCATAATGTCCATCACTTGATTGTGCGCACCCCCTTTTTAATTTCGATTTTTTTTTTATTTCTGTATAAATTACCACCAAAGACATTAAATCGATCTTAATTGTGCAACCCCCCCCCCCCCCCCCCCCCCCACACCTTTTTAAAAAAGCTGTATCCGCCCATGCATTATACCGTGAAACTCGTTAACTCGAATACGTTGATATCGTTAACGTGTGATTCGAATACGTTAATATCGTTAACCCGAAAACGTTAATATACCGTTTACAGCTGTGTAACCTTGTCTTAGTCCCCTCGCCCCGAACTCAGATCACCCGATGTTGTCCGATGCTAACAAAGACGTATTACTGTTATCCATTAAGTACCACATGGTATTACTTACCTGCATTTTCTTCTGGATATATTTCTCTCCCATTCTGAAACCAACCGGGAATTAAGTTGTAAAAATACATTTTATCAAACGTTCGCATTGAAAACCCAAAAGCAACCAAACCTTCATTCCTACATACATCTCGCAGAATAAACACGTTCGTGTCCCTGTCCACCATTCGTTCACGTTCAATCATCCATGCACATATGTCTAGTGTATGCATAAACAACAAGGTAGCAAAACATCAGTTTAGAAGTTGTTTTGAAAAGGCGGCTTCTGTCCAAGTGTGTAAAGAAAATGTGAAATTGTGTTAGAACATCCCTCAAGACTTGCTAACATAGACAGACAGACAGACAGACACATGTTATTCAGTACTGTAGACCTTACCCTAATAAAATAAACAAGATGAAAAAAATAATTTAATGTATATGCTGAATAAAGGGCTGGAGGAAAGTACACTTTATGTTAGAGGGATAGTCGATTTGCCTCTATTCTTTTGTACTCAACAAAGGCATTTTATCAAACATTTAATAATATGGATATTGTCGCTTGACATGTCTTACAAAGGTTTCAGTTTTGGTAGGATTTATATGATGATGATGGGAATAGCTGTCACATATCAACAATACATGTAATTTGTAATGCGACTAATATCAATAGAATTCATAAATTACTGAGGCTTTGTCACGTGACTAAATGGTTGAAATCAACATTAATACTTTCAGGCATACCCATACAGCGAGCACCTGTCAGGCCGAGTGTGAAGTATTACAGTTACTTTCTGGACCTCCATCTTGGTGGGGTCCTCCCAGATGTCAGACACCCAGTTGTCAGACACCAGACAGTGGAATATTTTTTAACTGCCACACACCCCTTTAGTCATAATGATTTGAAGTTTTAAACGGCTTAGTTAAACTGTTTGTTTTCACTGAAGTTTGTGATACGGTGATCAGAACACAACCCGGGTCGTCGAAGTTAACTTTCTCATTAAATGTCAACTGCGGCTTTTTGACAGTATGGTTGTACCAGTTCTTCTCTGTGGATGCGAAGTATTGGCATTTGAAAACATCTTAACTTCAGAAGATGTCTATTTGCGTTTCTAAAATATTTATTTTTAGCTTTAAGAAAATGTACTCCAATTCCCCCTGTACATGGGGAACATGGAAGACTCCATCTATCAAACAACGCTTAAATGAGAATAATACGTTTTGGGGCAAAATTACTCTCCGGGAAATCATCTAAATTATCCTTTCTTGTTTACAAGTTGTTATTTAATGACGACCTATTTGGAAAATGTAAACATAAATGGATTACATATATCAAACGAACTTTTGACGAACGTGGACTTAGTTACATCTGGTTTTCAGACAGTTTCACAAATCCTATTTACCTAAAACATTTAGTCAATGAAACATTAAATGACTTTAACCCACAGTGTTGGACAAGTGCATAATAAATAATAAAAAATGATGGCCTAACTTTTAAATATTAAATGTACTGCAGGACAACGTTTGACGAGTCTTACTTAAGTTTAGACCTTGTAACCATAATCTACCACTGGAACAGGGGAATGGAGAAAAATACCTTTGATCGAAAGGAAATGTCCTTTGTAAACTATCTGACATGGGTGATGAATTCCATTATTTGTTAAGTTGAATGACTGACAGTACATTCACAATATAACTATATTCATAATGATTGATGGTCATAATATATTATGTATATGTTATGAATGATACTTTATGTATATAATGTAAAACTCCTTTAACTGAGCAATAAATTACAAAGTATAAAGCAATAATTTATCAAGAATAAACACTGATTTGTATGAATTTGACGACAGGACTAGTTTAGTCGGATTTAAGGGAATATATCACACACCTGCAGCTGATGTACCCTCAACCATAGAAGTTGTTATGTTAAGCTGTCCGACAAATGGGGTGTCTGACAAACGGGAGATGACCATCTTGGTATATTACAATACCAGTAAGACCACCGAGAGAAACCCTATCACAGTCATTTAGTGTTGCTAATTCACACAACTCTCATGTACTGTTAAAGTAGGAGAAATCGTCATTCATGGAATAAATAATTGTATTATAGTTTTGCAAGTATATGATGGACATTGCAAAGTTTCATTCGCAAATTCAACTTAAGTTGTGTAAATATTAGTTGAAATTCCACACCCGTGTTTTGAACGCCCCATGCACACATACAGCCCTGAAACTGACTCTGGCACGTACCCACGTAACACAAACCACGATTTTACATCAGGAATACTGGACTATCTATTTCATAGAGGGCACTGCGACATAGCTTGGAAGATGCACTTAGTCAGGCCTTTGTATGCTGATCTCCCAAAATATGTCTCATTGACAAACCGCAAAAACGACTTCAGCGTACAGACGGTTAATAAATACACGGATGCTTTGTTTGGTTATTATCAGGGGTTGAATGTCAAATACACGTAATCTGGGGGGGCTTATCTGCCGTGACCATTTGAAAAGGATGATACCTTCACTTCAGTCTCTGAGACATATTGTTTGGTGAAGGTTGTTCTACATTCAACACAGGGTTCATCTTCAGACTAAAATTTGACCTTGTTCAGCCTCTGCTTGATATAAAGATACAGTCTTTACAGAGTAGAATTTTTGTACATGACATCACTCTATTTCGAAACTTATTGTATTTTTTAACACTTTGTTTATACTCAAGGGCAAAAGTAATTGTGATCACATACATATTAATTTTTGATTAACTGATAACTAACAGTGAGGATAATAATAATATTGCTTTACAGGGGGGGATTGGTGTCGTTTTAAAGCGTAATAAGTCTGAAAACAAAATAACAATCAAACATCTTTAGAAAACCTTGGGGATTCATCTTCATCCAAATAAAACATCAATGCCTTTGACAGAAAGGAACATAACACACGACTCTGGTTATTTATGTCTTTGCGTATATATGTATGAGAACATGGCAGTATTTATCAGTTACTTTTCTTCGAGAGGTGATGACTTGCTGATGAAGCAGATATCCGTTTCTACGTCAGTGTCGCGGGATGTAAATGTCAGTATGCGTTTAACGATGAGTTTAATTTCTATTATATCACCCTGAAAGCGTGTGAGCTTGATTTTGGAGGAAGCCAAAAGTGATGCAGGTCTTAGACGTTTACCGCTTTGGTGCTGACAAACCTAGGAACATTGGCACGTCTAACTGCACAGCGAATTGCCGCGCCTTGGCCCACTAGGCCAGTCTTGCCCCCAGAAAAGATTGCATGAATTATATTTGGACAGGTGGGCATTAGCCGTCTATGATTGTTTCTTCACATCTTCATTATAATGTCTTTAATTCGGAGAGAGGAAGCTCGGTGGTCGATCAAAAAAAGACGTTAAAAGAAGTTGCATGTTGTTTCCCTGGCTGACACTCAGCATTATAAGGGATGGAACAAGGACTGGTCGGTTCGAAGTAAGATTTCTGTGTCTAAGTGGGGTATCCAGTTTAAACTGGCACGTTATCCCAGATGGCTAGCACTTTAAAACCGGCATAAGTCGCACACACACACGCACACACGTGAGGGCCCCTATATAAGTGCAATGGTCTTGAACGCGGCGTTAAACCCCATTTCACATCACCTCTCCTACTAACAAAGGGTCCATTTAAAGGAGGGAATATAGATTCACATTTGTAATCAGTTGTTTGTAAACAACATACTCATCCATTAAACAGGCTTCAGAATTTACCACAGTGAGAGAAATGTACGCATGAAGCTGCTGTTGTTGTAGAGAATAAATCTGCTATAAAGGGTTAACTTAGATTAACGACTGCCTTAACACTGAGACATCGGTGTGAAGAGGTACAGATGGCAGTGTGGAGTTCTCATGCACCATGTCTAGCACCATGCATAGCGTGTGTGGTCACCTTTGACCACAGGGTGTAAGTCCAACAGGATAGGCACAGAAAGGCGCGCACGTGTCATGTCTTGCTGACAGCGGCACTGTCTTGGTTACTCATTCATTTTCATTCAATGGTCTTTCTTATGTACTGGTTGTAATTATAATAATTTTCAAATCAATAGGCATCATCCTCCATATGCACCAAAAACATCACCAACGTACTGACTTCCATAAATGTGAGTTACAAGTCGATATTGCTAATTTCGAGAACATATTTTCTAATAAGGTTTCTTTCTTTTTTATTAAAACTATTATTAAAAACAGAATATTAGCATTCCTAAAATCGATTACAGTGAATTAACATAAGTAAACACACAGTGTCTCATGAACGTAACATGAACGTATTTTTCATCATCATGATAAGTCTTCGGTTAAATCCTAATATTTTGTAATTTAGATACATTTAAACATTTGGAATACACAATTGTATACACATGAAATGTCAACGTCATAGCATAGTCAGTCTTGATTCCATTAGGAGTACGAGGGAAAACAGTGAAGAAAACCATATGAATGGATCAATGAAATCAGTGAAGAAACCATATGAATGGATCACTGAAAACAGTGAGGAAACCATATGAATGGATCACTGAAAACAGTGAAGAAAACCATATGAATGGATCACTGAAAACAGTGAAGAAAACCATATGAATGGATCACTGAAAACAGTGAAGAAACCATATGAATGGATCACTGAAAACAGTGAAGAAAACCATATGAATGGATCACTGAAAACAGTGAAGAAAACCATATGAATGGATCACTGAAAACATTGAAGAAAACCATATGAATGGATCACTGAAAACAGTGAAGAAAACCATATGAATGGATCACTGAAAACAGTGAAGAAAACCATATGAATTGATCACTGAAAACAGTGAAGAAAACCATATGAATTGATCACTGAAAACATTGAAGAAAACCATATGAATGGATCACTGAAAACAGTGAAGAAAACCATATGGATGGATCACTGAAAACAGGTAATGACACCCGGTGCTCTGCCCCACCGACATAAGACACAACATAAGATGGATGACGTGCACAATAGGACACATAATGCAAGCCATTGTACAGCGACGTCATACA